GCCCCGTAGATCGACACCCTCCCGTTCCTTTTTCCTCCGTCGCTGATCCTTCCTCTCCTCCGGCACCCCTTCTCGTTGTCTCCGGCCATGCTCACCGCGACCAGATCCCGTCTGACCTTTGATGGTTGCGACTGCAGCCCCTCCGGCGCCCGCCCTTCCCTTCGTCCCCGGCACTGCGACAACCCACCACCGGAGATCATCTCCTTTCTCTCGGGCCTCCTCGGCTGAGACACGGCTCCCCTTCTTCCTGGTTCTCCTATGCCCAGCTAGCTACCGCCGGATACCATGACGGCTCCCCTTCTTCCTGCATCAACACAGATCCTCTTCTTCTTCCATCATTCGAGAATATTTGATAAAAAATTTGTTGCTATATAATCTTTCAATTGTAGTCACACATTATACAACTTCTTTTTTTGATGCATATACTAATGTTGCTAAGCAATTCCATAGTTTGACATCCAAAAATGATTCCGTATTAAAACCTCAGTAGGATTTCGTGAGCCAATTCAGTTAACATCCAAACAATTGAATTCGTATTCATGTTCATTATAGTTTCCTAGCTGAAATAGAATCGAAACCAATACAATAGAGAGGTCTCTAATATAGACATCCAAACATAACGTTGGGATTTTTTTTATACTATAGTTTCATAGGAATTTTAGCATTCATCCAGACATTTTGAAAAGAATTTTTTGTTTCTCCTACGAAAGCCATCAAGCAAATCAAAGTCATGTAGGATTCAAAAGGGAATATTGTAATCATATGTGTTTTATATTCTTGTGTGTTTAGACCCAATGAATCAAAGAGGCCCTCAAAGTCTTATTGGGTCAACAAAGAAGATGGCAAGTCACGAACTGAGCGTAACTCTGATGGTTAGATTTTTTTCTTATGGTGTAGCCAGCCCATCAGCGTTCGAGTCCTATACTTGGTTGGTGCTCGCATTTTCCTGAATTATTTTCATACTCTCGAGTGATGTTCGTTCCGACTACAAGGCTTATGTAGTGACGTTGTCAATGTTGAGTATTTTGAATGTACTCTACGAAGGTGTGTGCATGTGCTCATAGAAGTGAGTTTATGTGTATGTATGTTCTTTCAAAATAAATAAATAAATGTGTATGTATGTGAGCAATTGTGTTTGTATCGTGTTAAAAAAAAGGGACTGCTAAAACTCAGTCGACTAACAAACCTGGCAGGTCTCGCCAGGAACCTCGAAGGAGGTCGGGTCGCCACAGCGTGAGAGAAAACAAAGAAGCATGCATGCATCTCCGGATTTCCATGCCCTTGCAGAAAAACCATCTTTGACGAGTGGACGAACATGCCAACACATCCGTGGACTGCGTAGTCACTGTCTCACACTGTACAATGA